CCAGATGCCAAATTTTGTAGTGAAAGTATTCCATTCTCTACTCAGCTGAATTCCTCCTCATTTCTGCTGTCCCAGGACAGCACTGCTCACCATACACCTACAGTGCAGATCACACTGACACCTGACAAAAGAACTTACATGCTCTTGAGTAACTGTAGTTGTTTGAAACCATGACTATGCTGTAGTAAGAAATCCAGTTTTTTAAATGAATTCATTTTATGCAATGCATCCAATATTAAAAACTATAAAATATTAATAAAGCAGAATTCTACGCTCATTTTATTTCTATAAATCTGAAATAAAGCTTAAACCATGTTTTATAGTGTTGACACTGTGTACAGCTCAGCAAACAATGAATAAGCAATACTGATTCAAAAAGCAGAAAACATTGCTTGATTTGAACTGCTTTTGTTTCTTTCTTTCATGAAGGCATCTCTCAAAATAACTTAATTCTGAGCGCAGTTCATTGATGTGAGCTCCCTGCCCCCTGTCTTCTCAAGCTTTCTCCAACTGGCTAAACATGGTGACTAGAGCGTTTCAGATTAATTTTCCTGAAGTGACCTACTTTGCAGAGAAAGATAATCATGCATTTATAGCCTCTAGCACTCCATTCAGGTCACAGATGGACAGATAGCAAAGCTATTCCTCAGTGATTTACTGGGATTGTAACTAATCCCCAATGAGAAACGAGATCAGCCTGATGTTAATTGGTCAGAATGCCTAAAAGTACGGAAGATCATTGACTCCTACTTTAATTTTCAGGAGGTTTCACAGTTAGGCCAGCGGTTGTTCCAGGAGTGTTTTGTGGTAGTGGTCGGATTACTGGATGCTGAGGATGTTAAATATCTGACTTTGATTCCTTTGCCTTGTTGGTGAAGCACCGTGCGGTGTTCTGGCTGTGGAGATGTCTGATATTACACCCGTAGCAGATACTGTGGCTGGCACCAAGGATAAGAAATCTGGGAGAGTTTTGACCTTTTGCTCCCTAATAAGTGCTTATGGTCCTGTCAACAGTTGTCATTGTAAAGATAATTTTCTGTACAATCAGACCTAAACCTCTGTTATAAAAGCATTTTTTTTGTATAGCATGATCAGTTGAGCCAATAAAGCTCTTATTTTGCTATTATCCATTAGAGACCCATTCTTCCTCTTGTATTTGGCACTAATGTAGTGATGTGTGCAAAACAGCCTGTTCTTTTATTTTCAGATGGTCAGAAGCTTCACAAGGGAAATGACCAGGCTTTATTCTCTGTTAGGATATTTTTAAAAGTTTGGTGGAGCTTTTCATGCTGAGAAACAGGCAACAAGCCGGAGTGTTAAGGATGTCAGGATGTCTCTTTTTTTTTTTGAAGGACCGTCTTGAAACTTTGAATGTGCCAGGCAGTCAGTGTTATTAATGCTGACAGGTGATGAAATAACTGTTAAAATTGTGACACTGCCAGCAAAGGGATCGATGGCTTTCAGAACAAAACAAAACATGTATGCAGGTTGAATCCTTGCACCACAGGACTGCAAATGTGTATGCCTGTGTCTCCCAAGGTATACATACAGCTTTACATTTTGCACCGTAGTGCACAACTGAAAGGTCTTCTGGTAGAAGTTGCATTGCAGTTTGGGTCACTTTGATCACTGAGGAAGCATTCATATTTTGTGTCCTTTCTAGAGCAAATGATCTCAGAACACATGAGGAATGATTTGGGTTTGGTTTAGATAGGACAACCTAGCAGAGCTGTGTATGTATTTCCTGTGACAGCATACAATACATCGAGGGCAAAATCGATTCCTTTTAGCAAAAAGCCTTACAAATTAAGTAAAAGGTTTTAGAGAGAAAGAGTATGTGCAGCCCTCCCATACCTATCCTGAATGACCATAGTGCAGCTGTCCCACCATCAAAATGCTAGACATGGGCTCTGGCAGTTGTTGAGAGCCCTTTGAATTTTTCACACATGTCCTTCAGCTTCTGGATCTCTGTGTTCCCGCTCACGGGTATTAGCCCCAGAATCTTCTTTTCCCAGGGAGAATTTTCTTTGTGTCTGAACCAGATGTTTCTTGGCATTTTCTCTGGGAGTGCTGGTAAATTTGAACCCAGGTAGCTCTACAAGTGTAGGTATCAATGCAGATACTCTTAGTCTACCTTAAGAACAGCCTGCTGTAGCTATGCTTTTATCTGGTCCTAAAATAATTACTCTAAATCCAAACAAATCCAGGTTTAATTAAAATAATACATAAAGCATAATTTTAATTATTCTTTTTTTTCTCTTTTAGTTTTTCAGGGAAATATTTGTAAAAAGTAAGTCAGCACACTGCTGGGATTGATTATGGGCTATTTTAATCAAATAATGATTTTATGAAACAAAAAATTCATGTCTTTGGGTCTTTGGTTCTCTGTTTCCTAGTGTGATATCCATAACATGGTTGTGTTTATGTCAGAGAATTTGGAGTTTTGTAAGAAACAGGGTAAGTCTAAATAGTTGGGAAGTTATTGTGTGTTATCAGATACAAAACTAGACTGCTTCTATTTTATGGAGCCATAGTACAATCTGTAGAAGATACAGTAGAAATTATTTGTGGAAAAAAACAGTATCTGCTACAAACAAATAACATCTGCATTACAATAGACATGTTCATGCCCACCATGTAGATCTCTTGGTTATAAAAAGTACAATTAAGAAACAATACTGGTGCATTCCCATTGCAAAAAAAAACAATTTAAAAACAACCAGTTCCAAAGAAACCTAGGTTTTGAACCAGGGTAACCATAACAGTAATAGAAAATACATGCTTCATATTTAATGCTGACATTCCAGTATACAAGCAATGACTGAAGATCTCCTGACTGTTTTCTTGGCAGGCTAGTACGGGCACTGGGCAATGGTGAACATGGAACATGCCACAAATCCCCCTCACGTTATTACACAGCACTACCTGAGAGTTTGTCTTCTGGGATTTTCATGGCTTAAAAGTTTACCTTGTACCATTGTGGATATATAGATTATTACATTGAAAAAAAAAAATCCATTCACTTCTCCGTTTGCATATTAAATTAGGTTATTAAGTGATCAAACAGTTCTTATCATATAATTGTCCTGAATACAGAGCTTTTAATCTTCTGCGTTACATCCATATAAAATCTTGCGTGCATATTTCTTCTGTGGGAAAAGATGAGAAGTAAGGCACATTTTGTAAACATGCATAGGTGTCACATGCACACAATTTGCTACTAAATAGCACTACTCAATTACATGAAATGACTGGAATAGATATTTGTTTGCCAGATCAGAACATCAAGGTGGAGTTATGAATATGATAATGAACTAGATTTTTTTAGCATTTTTTTACAGAATTTGTTGATCTGCTGCACTACTGTAAATGAAAAGTAAATCTGATTAGAGAAACAGAAGAGTAGACATTTGTTACAGAAATTTGTTCTCATCATCTTTAATATGTGAGTCAGTGTTCACTGGTGAAGTAGGATCATCATTATTTTAGCTTACCTATTTAAGATATAAAATTTCCGTTGATGAATTCGAAGAGATCATGAAATGCTAGAGCAATTTGAGAGAACCCGTATTCCTCATTTGAAGGAACTTGTATTCCTGTTTAAGAGGACGAAGCAGCATATTTGGAAGGAAATGCTGGAGTGTGGAAGAGTCAGACATGTTTTAGTGAAACAGTAGATGTGATCTGAATTGGTAATGAATGTTCCGTGGTGACTGTTTAATTCTGAACACCTAAGGAGCATTTATAGGAGTCATAATGTTTTTGAAATATGCTTTGGTGGGATGGGCTGTGCATATGCATGAAATGGAAGAAAGAAACTTGCTAGACAAAATGGTGGCAAAATGCTTCACTGTTTTTATGTACAAAATTCCAATAAACCTATAAACTTACATGCAAAATAATAGTAGTTTATAATTAAATTAAGCATATTAAATGTATTTATTATAACAAATAATTAGATTATAATATTTCCTCATAATTAATCACAAACCTATATACAAAATAATTTAGGCCAGTTACAGGTCTTTGGTTTTCAATGATGCCTTTAATAGTAAGCTAGTTAGACAAAATTAATTATTTTCTGTATTAATTTTCCATGTAGATTTGCACATGAATGCTGTTAGCATTATACAATTAAACATTAATGAACTATTTGCATACTTATACATTCACCTGATGTGTTTGAGATGTTTTACCCTTGCATACTCAGTGCAAAGATAAGGTCTGTGGGTGATGGCAAACTAATTACCTGTGAAAATTAAAGCCCTGTGTTTGCTCAGAGAATAACTAAACTGTAGACGAGGATTGTTCTTCCATAGACTACTTCAGAAAACCCCAATATTGGCTTCCTCTTTGCATAAAGCAATAGTATCTCTGTGCTCTTTGATCTTTAGTTTCCTTGCTGATACTACTGAGAAAAGGCATATTAATAGTATTATGGTGTTGAAATGCCAGATCTTTGAGTTTGCAAGTACAAATTAAATATGGTATTTAATAAAGAAAGTGTATTTCAGGATTAGAAGGCTTGCATTAAGACAAGTAAGCTGTAGTTCCAAAGCACTACATTAGCTCTCTTTGCTCAAGTTGGTGACAAATCTTTTTCTACAATGTATTTCATAAAGTAGTAGATTAAAAAAGCACTTTCACTCAGTACATATGTATTAAAATAGTGACTAATGATACACCTATTCTAGAATTACATGCTGTTGCTTTTGGGAAGCTGATGTGGACTTCCTCATCCTTAATGTTTTATTAAAAAAAATGCCCTATTGAACTGGGAGGGTAGAGGTTGTTTTCCAATAATGATGTATTATAGTTTCTGAATTTATAGTTTTGACAATTTGAGCATTTAGATTTTCATTTGGACATTCAGTCATAGGATTTTTGCATAGTTCTATTTTTCCTGGATATTTTGAAATAAAAAATATGAGACATTTTAAGGAAAATGAAAATAAGGAGGAGATTTGGGAGCTCTAACCATTCTCATTCTGTCCATGCAGTTCGACAATCAGCAAGCATTGGGAGGCAGAACTGGCCACGCTCAAGGGTAATAACGCTAAGCTCACAGCAGCCCTGCTGGAGTCCACTGCCAATGTCAAACAATGGAAACAACAACTTGCTGCCTATCAGGAGGAAGCAGAACGTCTTCATAAGCGGGTAAGTCGAGGCAACTGTCCAGAATCCTTGAGGTGGAAGTACTGGTGAATATATTTGCTCATTTTCAAGTAAAACAAGTTTGTTGTTGGGGCTTCAGGTTAATCTTTGAGACAGAAACAAATGTTTACTTTAAAGCACACAGGGTTCTTCCATTGGGAAATTCTTTCCTTTGTAGCAGTTCTTTTTCTGCAGAGGGTGTTGTTACAGGAAGGGGTAGTTATCTAACCTTATGACATGTTTGCCAGCTTTCACTCTTCATTTGATGCCATCACATCTGTTTCAGGACCTTCTCCATAGCATTACACTTCAGTCCTTCTTGCATTTAAGCCCACAGAAACTTGACATCAAATCTGTAAGTTAAAGAAACCCTATTGTAGTTTCTGCATGTAACAAAGATGAACCACTTCCTCTCATCCTTGCACCTAAAGAAAACTGAACGTAGATTCAAGATCATTATGTGCAGATAGAGATCTACTCCCACTTTCATACAAGAGAGGCTTGGTCCTGTTCCCTTCACTGTAAATTTGCAGAGGTCTTTTGGCAAACCAGAAATTAGTGCACAGCTGGGGAAGGAATGACAATCTTTGAGGGAGGAATAAAGCATGCAAAGTTGAAAGCTGCATTATGAAAACAAGTATGCAATATTTTCTCTTCTCTCTTCACATGTAACTCTATATATTGTATAATCTAGTCACCTTTATCCATATGAATTTGTCATCATAGCTTAGGACACATTTTGGTGCAAAGCAAAGGCAAGATTAGCACATGAATGGAGGGAAGATGTCTTTCATGAAGCTGTATTGCTTTTGTTAATATCAGGTAACTTAGAAAAATATCAAGGAGATGTGCTTAGTTAAGAAAATAAAACCAAATAAAAGCATTGCCTTTTTGCATGAAAACAGGTTTCATGAATATACTGACAGGAAGGGAAAGGTCAAGTAGCAAGCATGGCACACCTTTTAATTTGGTTTTGTATGCTGTCCTCACCTCTATGAAGTAAGGTAGGGTGATTACAGTTAGCCCAAACCTGCAAATTGCGAAGGGTTCTTTCAGACCTGCACTGGACCTGTCCAGCTAAAGGCTGTTAGTAGTCCCAAGAACAAGGGTCATATTCATCTGAGTAGGGAGAAATTCAGCAGGCTACATCTAACCTGGGGTTGTGGAAGAGTAACAAAAATTCCCTTGAACTTGAGAAGCCTGGGGAGATAGCAAGTTATTGGGGCTGAATATGTTAAAACAGTCATTGTTGATAGAATTATTTAAATTAAAACCTTATATTAAAATTACTATAATGAGGACGTTCAGGTCAATTTGACCACCAGATGGGCTTTGCAGTGAAGAAGTCATCACTAAAACATGGATATAATGAGATTGTATTCTTCCTAGTAAATTGTATTAACAGCTTTTGTTGCAAAGCTGAGACAATACAGTCCTTACCTAAACAAGGAAAGAAAAGTGACAGAACAATAGCAGTTCCGTTTGCCTTGGGGAGACCCAACCACACGAGTTGGGCAAAGATCCCTTTTTTTTCATGTTATGCTCACTCTTACTGAAATCTTATTTAAAATCTGTTATTGGAAAATACAATTAATGAATATAGGAACTTCTGTCATCTCACTTTATTTTTGTATGGTATTATAGTTAACAGGAAGTGGTAACCCAGTCTTTGTAGCTGCATTCATTGATAGCTGATGATTTATCATAAATTTTGCCATTATTTTGTATTTCTGAGGGAATGTGAAATCTTATAACATGGGATCACCTACACTATGCTCTTTTGATCACTGTTTACATGTCTTTATTAAATGTTTCTGTAATTTGTGACTTTAGGGCTTGTTGATACCTAACATAGAATATGGGAACATCTGTGCTTATGTCTCTGTGGCCATGCCTGTAAATTATGACAAGATAGTTCATCAACAGTACTGCCCTCTGTTGTAACTGCTTTTAGAAAAATATAGACTTGGCTAACCCAATAAATTGAACTCCCTAGGCAAAAGTACGCAGATCATGTAAAAAAAAAAAATTAAAAAAATGAGTCTCCATCTGTTATCCATACAGTGCGACACAAGAGCTCTTCTGACCTGCATGCTGGAGACTGGTCTCTCAGACTGAATGAGTGCCCCATTTCAAAAAGAAACTGCAAGTCAGATACTTCTCTTCTACAGAAGTCGAAAATGTGCTGTTGAAATGGCACATCTGGAGTCTGTTGGTTATGGTACCTGTGGTAGCAAGCAGTGTTAAGTCACTGTATTGTGTTATCTTTCTGTTCTGTTAATGCATAAAGCTCAATATTAACATGTAGCTGCAACTGATGCAAAAATTGTTCCTCAAATTGGAATCCGTCTAACCTGAGATTATATAGAAGTTATATATCAAAGTGTAAGATGATAGTCTTTTTTTCTTGTGATTACTGGAGGGACAAAACCATGAAGACTAAGAGTCCCAGTCTTAAGAAAACTGACTAAGGTGTTGAGCTGAATTTGCTTCTCTAAGTGCTTGTCTTTCTCTATAGGATAATCATCTAGGTAGTCCTCTAGACAAACTTAGATGAAATTAACTCCATCCTTAGTTCCTAGAATCACAGAATAATTTAGCATGGAAGGGAACTTTGGAAATTATCTGGTCCAGTTCTCCAATGAAAGCTTTGAAGTTAGATCCAGCTGCGGGGCAGGGTCAGGTTACTCTGGGCTATGAATCAAGTCTCAGAAAATTGAGATCCCACAGCCTCTCTAGGCAGCCTGTTCCAATGTTTGACCACCCTTGTCAAATTACTTTTTCCTAATATCTTATCTAATTCAAATTTGCCATGCTGCAACTTGCATCTGTCACCAGTTCAGAAGAAAAATGGGGTTTGATAGAAAAGAAACTTTGGTGAGAAAAGTAGAATAGACTGTGTTTTTAGAAAACACAGAAAAAATTATTTCAAGGAGAAAGAAAGATCTGGAAATTAGTTTGCAGGTTCAGTTGTAATGTAGTTGCTGTTTCATATAGAAAAGTTGTCTGTCAAAGCATCTTGCCCACTGGAGAAGAATGTGTATAGGTATGTATGCTTTGGAGCGGTACGCTCACTTACAAGATCATAGTCTTGTATAAAATAGACCAGCCTTCAAAATGAAGAATGATACTGCTGACATTGGCTGCTGCATCTAGTTCAATTTAATAATTTATTATGTGTTTTGTATGTAAAGTAATTGTGGTATTCACTCCTTACGTGCTTTAGGTTTATATATAAGTTTTGGTGCCTGAGTCATCTGTCAGCAAGCTACAGTAGATTCATGTCCTCTGTCAAGTGTGGTGTGGGAGGGGAAGTAATGCACATTGATTAGTAAATTTGGCATTGTTATTTCCACATTTAGTTTCTTCTTTATATAAATACCCTTATAAATAGCCTTATTTACATAAATAGTTTCTTCTTTATATTAACGAAAAAAAATATTGTTGCTTATACTGTCTTACTAGTTGACTTCTTATGGTACCTTTTTCCACAGTTTGAACTTTGTCATGTTTTATTTATAAACATAATTTGATTTTTTGTTATATCTCATTCCTTTATCTTCTTTTTGTTTCAATCACTACTGTAAACTGGGTCTTCTGTCTTGCAGAGTATTTGTTGTAAACTTTACTTTTTAAGTTGTTTTGAATTATTTTAAGCCCAACATTTTTTATTCTATAATTGTTTTCAAATTTGACAGAAATAGTTTTTCTGTGTATCACATCGTTTACACTTTTCAACAGAAACAAAGCTAAAATGCCCCTTTCTTTAATTTTGATTGCATTTTTTTAAAAATTAATTTTGTTTATTATTTGCCATCTCTGATTAAGTGTAACATTTGCTCATCTATCATATTTTCATATTAATTTACATTTATTTGTGTTCTCTGAGGCCTTTATCTTTCTTCTTCCATTTGTTCTCTGCACTAATAATGCCTAGAGCTGAGAGGAAATAAAATATAGATTCAGTGTGGCTGAGTGCAAAGTTATCAATAAATTAAAGTTTTGTGCTCTCTTCTGATACATTGTGAGCTTAAGTCAGAAATACGGTACTTTGATATTTTGTCAGACACTGTGTCCAGTTCTGGGCCCCACAGTTCAGGAAGGACAGGGAACTGCTTGAGAGAGTCCAGCACAGAGCCACCAAGATGATGAAGGGAGTGGAACATCTCCCTTATGAGGAAAGGCTGAGGGAGCTGGGTCTCTTTAGCTTGGAGAAGAGGAGACTGAGGGGAGACCTAATTAATGTTTATAAATATGTAAAGGGTGAATGTCAGGAGGATGGAGCCAGGCTCTTCTCAGCTGGAACACAGGAGGTTCCACTTAAACTTGAGAAGAAACTTCTTTACGGTGAGGGTGACAGAGCCCTGGAACAGGCTGCCCAGGGAGGTTGTGGAGTCTCCTTCTCTGGAGACATTCAAAACCCGCCTGGACACCTTCCTGTGTGATCTCATTTAGGTTCCTGCTCCGGCAGGGGGATTGGACTAGATGATCTTTCAAGGTCCCTTCCAATCCCTGACGTTGTGTGATTCTGTGTGATTCTGTGGTTTCTCTTAAATGGGGTTGAGGAGCATTTCTACAAACCTTGCATAGCTTTTTGAAGTCAAAGGGATTAATGAGTTTAGAACAGCTCAATAACAGAAAGAAAAACCTTGAAGTGAGCAACTTCAGACAAATAGAATAGTGTTGGTACTAAGATTAATCTTGATACCACAAAAAGGAAAGGATTGAATGGTGCTATGAATTATGGAAAGTAACCCAAAGTTCTATCTTTGTCATGTTAAAAGTGAAAATGATGAATTTTTTTTCTTGCATGTTAACTGCTCAAGTAAATCATCCTATGACACTGGGCAATAGCACAGAGTAATAACACCAGTCCATAATAATAAGAGCTGCAGTCCTTGAAGATCATTCATCTGCAGGAAAAGAAACCTAAGATAAAAAGAGAAGGGAAGTGATCAAGCTCTTG